CTGGGCAGCCTGGAAAATGGTAAATGATCATTTGGATCAATTACAGGCTTTTAGCTGTGTTGTCTGTCATAATTCATGATTCTGGTCTGGGAAAAAGACCAACAGCCTACGTGCCAAAAAAGGGGCAGAGTTTGATGGAGTTGGGTGTACTTTTATGTGCCATTTTCCTCCACACCTAGAGGAAAGCACTTTTGCAGGCATTCTGTGCAGGGGGAATCATGTTTGACTGTATGGATGTTCTAGCAGTGAGCCCTGCTCAGATGCTGGATTTCTACACTGCGAGTCCGTCTTCCTGCATGCTCCAGGAGAAGGCTCTCAAAGCATGCTTCAGTGGATTGGCACAAACAGAGTGGCAACACCGGCACAGTGCTCAATGTAGGTCCCAACTGTTATTTTTCCACTTTAAAGCAATGACTATTATTATTATTGTTATTATTTTTATTTGCATGTATTTAAAAAAGAAATACTTGTAATTAAGCGTAGGGGTTCTGAGGGGTGGGGGGAGGGTTTTTTGTGCAAAATGTGGTTTGCAAGCTTTTTTTTTTTTCCCCCCCCCGCTCCTTTCGGCAAGAAAGGAAAAAGGAAAGAAGCATCGGGCTGCTTTCTGTTTATCCCTTCTTATGTAGCATATTGATCCTAACAACAGTTGCGGAGCCAAGCAGGAACACGTGAAATTATAATATAATGCAGCAAATACTTGCAAAAACTCCAACCAGTGAAGGACAAATTTACGTAACATCTCTGTGATAGTTGCTTTTTTTTTTCTTTGCCTCCTTAATCTAATTTTGTAGCACGTTTGATAATCTGGATGCATGTTGTCTCAAAGTGCATTTTAGCAGAGCAGCCAAGCAATCAAAGTGCTGCTCTGTACAGTTCTTGCAAAGATGTGGAATTGCAGTGGGTAGGTGCCATTCCAAAAATCAGACAGTAGTTTTAAGTTTCCAAAGAAAAGGCAATATTTCTTTGTACTGACCTTGCTGCCACCTTTCTTCTTCACTTTGTTGCTCTAAGAAGTTGCTGTTTTGCTAGAAAACTACTTACTGTGAACACCCTTTGAGTTTAACCATCAATTATTTCTATACCTTGAGATTCAGGCAGCGTTGCGCTGGTAACGGAGGAGGGAGAGTTAGTGGTAGGACACTTCTGAAAATACGTTATTATGTTATGGGGTCTTGATTTGTTGCTGAAATACATAGGTGGTAAACAATGGAGGTACTTCAACACCACAGTTTCAAGTTTGAGAAATGACAAAAAGTTCCAGAAAGCATCACCTTATACTCTGCATAAAAGCTTGCAGGATGCTTCGCTGCTCTGACGGTGATTTAGATAAATGACTTGGCTATCTATCAAAATGTTTTTAGCACGCTCTTGGGCACTTCAGTACACCATTAACCGTATAATTCTGTTTGAAATTTTTGTTTTGCAGTATGTTAAAAAGTTACCTAGGAATTAGAATAGTTCTTCCTTCGCTACAGTTTCTCTCAAAAGAGTGAGTGGAGGGGAATTGAAAAATAAATAAAAAACGCTTGGTGAAATGGTGGGTTTTTCACTCTGCTCAGAAGTTTTCAGTCACCATATGACATTTGTGTGGGTTGAGTAATGAAAACAGAATTGTAAAAATCAACTGATTGACTACAAGCCTACAATACTGCAAATGTTTTGATGTCTTTACAATTAAAATTAGACTGAAGTTCAGCATGGGATGTTTATTTTCTCCGCACTGTTTCCAAAGTGCTTCAAACAAGATATGAAACAAAGCTTTTATTTGAAAATAATGTTACTAGCTATGGGCTAGCATCAGTTAGGAGGGGAAAAAAACCCAACTGTCTAAAACAGATGTTTTACTAAAAATGTGTTTTCTTCCCTCCGTGGCTTAAACTTTACTATAACTTCAGTGGTGATATTGCGGAAACTTGGAATTAAATAAACTTTCCTGGAGTAGGAGGCATATGCTGTCGTTAAAAGCTTACATTTGCAAAATATTCTTTAAATAACTTCTGGTTTAAAAATGTCCTGCTCTTTCTCCTGTATGTTGTTAATACCTAGAAGCAAGATTCTTAAAAACAAAATATATGGTGTTTGTTCTTGGGCAAGTTAAACACAGGATTACCCTTATCAGAATGGAATGAGTGGTAAATATGTCATTTGCCTAGGGCCTGTGATAAGAGACAAGTGTTGATAACAGCAAAGTTTAGCTAATGAAAGAAACTCATATTAACTAGAGTAAATAAAAAACACAAGAAAATGTGTTCAGGAATCCAGTCTCGTAACCTTGTAAGCAATAGGATTAATGTTCACTGCATGGGAATTTAAAATCAGGCCGAAACCTGGATCATAATACAGTGGCTGTAATTTGAACTGTGAAAGTTAATGGTATAGAAATGTGGAAAAGCAATTTAATTAGTGTCCAAATGGAGAATTCTGTTTGATTTCTAGAGCAAGGGTTTTTTTAATTTTGAAGAAAACGTCAGCACTTTATGTGTGTGGGTAATTATATGTAAACGGGTTATAAAATACTAAAGTTCTCTCAACATGCAAGATTTTATCTTACATCTCATGAAAATAATGAGAAAAACAGAATTTTTGTGGTCCAGAAAGCTTTTAATGGTTTGAATGTTGCTCCAATGCTTATAAAGACAAAGATAGCAATATTTAATTCTAACTCAAGTGTTTTCTGATTCTCTGTTTTTATGAAGACCTCTGTAATTTAATGGAACGTAATCATAGCCAAATTTTGAAATTGTTAGATGTGTAATAGCTAGGGTTTTTTAGTCTAGTTTGTTGTTTTATTTTTGGCTCTGCCATAAAAGCAGTACACCTGCAGCCATTGCTTTAGGCCTTAGAAATATTGCTTTGATAGAGACGTGATTGTAGAGTAAAAGGTAAATGGTTGTTGAGGGACTAATACATGGATAGTGCAGACTCTGAACAGGCCAATAACAGTCCCAGACAGCATCAAGGTTTCGACTGAAAACACTGGCAAAATTGGCCATTGCAGGGGTTAGGGCAGAATGCTGTAGGTCTCCAACTTCAGCGCATCTTCAGTATGTTAATCCCGTTAACGATTCACTAAGCAAGCACACTCCTGTGGCATCATGGATTTTCTAGTCCGTGAGGGTCTGCAAAGTAAAAATAAAGGGTAAAACGCCACCCAAACATGACCTTAACTTGTGTGGTATTTTTTTCCTCCCTCCTGTGGGAGGAAAAACCTGCTATGGGTTTGCAACACAAACGTTAGCCACCATGTGTTGCAAGATGTGTTATGAGCACGCAAAAAGATACCTGATTTTGCGCTCATACGTGCTTATGTTTTATGTGATATTAGTTATATTGTTATAGGTTTTAAAACAAATTATTTATTTGCAAAGAAAATTATGTGCTCAGAAATGAGAGCAGAGCTGACTGCACTTATAAGTCATTCTCACTCCTTTTCTCGTAAGATAAAAATCAGGTCAGTATAATCTAATTGGATGAGAATAGTTTTTAAAAGGACAAAACAGTTAAGATTGCAAGAATGAGTAATTTATACTTTTTTTTAAGTAAGGTAAAATTTCCTGCTCCATCGTAGTGCAGCAAAAACAAATACTGAGAGAAAATGAGTAACTTTTGGTGAAATGTGAGCTAGCTAAATACTACAGAAGTGGGGATGGGACAGACCCTGAGAGAGAGAGCTGCAAGGAAGGGCGATTTTCCTTTGGACCTGGAAAAGCCTATTAAAAAAAGTCTTCATTAGTCTTCATTAATTAAACAGCCAAAAAACCCAAATGAGCAGGCCCAAAGCAGGAGTAAGTTTGTTTGGCAGTAGGGAGTGCTTCAGCTAATTGTATCAAGTAGAAGACTAACCGCCTACCACATTTTGTTAGGTTTAGGAGAATAAGAAATTTGATGAAGGCAAAAGTTATGGATGTGGCAGCAGAACATAATAGGATGTCGAGGCTCTTGCAGTATACAGTTCTTATTTCGTTTTGGTGGGAAGAGTTTGCCCAGAGAGGATCTAGCAGGTATTAACTTTCAGAAGGTTCGTGAAGATGGGGCTCCAGAAGGCATGCGTTCTCTTTCTGAATTCCGGATTATTGCAATGTTTGGGTCAGGTTCTCTTTCCC